AAGTTGAGCAATATGCTACATGATGAATTTTGACGATATTGCACATTTTGTAGCTGTGGGGTTTACTATTCCAGCTGTATATCTATATGTTTTTGCATTTTATACATGTTCAGTAAACTTTTAAAAGTCCTAAAGACTATCAGCTTATATTGAAAAGGGAACTGGCTGAAATGATAGTTGGTGCATGTGTGCACCTCTGCATGCATGCATGATCTATTTGTATCTATTGTGTTGTTGTGTCTATCCATCGGCCCTCAGATCAGACTCAGTGCGAGGATTGATTCTGTGAGGCTTCCTGTCCTTCTGCCCTTGACTGACCCAAGCCTGACCTGTGTTTGGGCCCTGGGCCACCTCGTGGCTACTGTATGGGCCTGTGTGTGTGTATGTGTGTTTAGTGTGTGCATGTGTGGCCAGCATAGGGTGGTGGGGTGTAATTTGAGCCCCAGGCTAGGACAGGACTGCTGCAGAGTCCATCCGGGCAGAAAAAAACAAGACACGGGAGCTGCAGGGTGGGCAGAGACAGAGAGGGCAGGACAGCCGAAAGAGTAAGAAGAGGGGAAGGTTTGAGAGAGAGAGAGAGTAATGGACAAAGAGTAGTGAGGCTCTTTTTAACTCGGCCTCCCTGAAAGAGAGATGTCAGTCTGTGTCAGTTCGCTCCACTAACCAGCCTGTAGCAGGAGAAACGGATCTCTCCCTCCCTCTCTCACACGTTCTTCCTATCTCTCCCTCCCTCCCTCCCTCCCACACCATTTCTATCTACTTTCCTCTCTCATATCTTTTGGTGATAGCTTTTCTGCCTCAGTTGAGAGAAGCGGAAACACTCCACAGCTCAGGGGAAAACAGCAAAACTAAGTAAAAGACCAAGCAGTGAACCAGTCATCTCTAAAAGGCAGGCAGTGTATAGTGCAGGTCTTCTCCTGATCACTCTTCGGGTGAATGACAACGGGCTGCTCCAAATGCTGTAGAGTAAGGCCCCGAAGGCAGGGCGCGCTGCCGGCTCTGCTGCAGCATTTCCCTCAGTGTTTTGAAGAGGGCAGCACACAACTCTTCAAACACAGAAGGGATCAAATCTTCAAATCCCCTGGAAATGTCAACCACATTTGAAGAAATGTCAGTAGAGCTGAGAACACACATCGGCCCGAGCGTGCGCACACACAGGCACTCGCACTCAACACCATGGTAAGAAAGGCAAAACGTCATATAGGGCAGTCACGTCCTGTGGGAGAAATCAGCTTCATCTCCTTCATTTTGCCAAAATCTCATGGGAGAATCATTGTATGCCTCTGGAGGGGTTTTTTCCCAATAATGTAAAAGTTATAATCTGTGGCATTTTCACATGAATGAGCATGCCATTAAATGATGTAACAAAAGGTATTCAACTGGTAATGCCAGTGCAGTGACATGCACTGTCCAACAGCTGGACATGCATGGCACCAGAGGAAACTGAGGAATAATTGAATGATTTATTGCATGAAGGTCTTTTAACAGTCTGTACTCCTCTTATTCTACTCTTCAGCTCGTTGAAATTATAATTTCCCGTAGTAAACAATTATTCAATTCATTTCTCTCTCCATAGTTCCCGTAACACAGATTATATGCAACACTGTGTGGTAACATAATTAATTTAACTTAAAAACTCTTATGCAGATCCTTAGTCATCTCAGGTGATCTCATCTGCAGCCACTGACATCATCCTGTGTTCCTATTGATCTATCCTCACCCCCGCTGACTAACTTATCGACATCCTCAAGTGTATTTCCTGTCTAGACTGTCAGCTGTGTTTATGGATAGCCCTGGCCCCTGGTGACACACGCGCACACACACGCGCACACACCTCCTCAGCTTATCGATGTATCCTTTCGCTTCTGACTCCGTCCTCCTCATTAATGAATCTGGTAGGTGTTGAACTGCAGATGTTGTGCAGGGCTCAAGTATCGACGGACAACGACGTGATGAAAGAGCTTGTCCCTGGAGAGGCCTGGGTTAGGTCACAATGATTGTGTGTGTGTGTGTGTGTGTGCGTGTGAGAGGGATAGAAAGCGACAAAGGGAGTTATTGTGAGAGGGTGTATGTGTGTCTGGGTGATGTGCATGTGTATCGCCCCATCACTCCTTGAGTGTCACTACTAGGAAGTGATATTGAGTCCAGAGTAGGCGCTTGTGTGCAAGACCGTGTCAGCACTGCTTCGAGAGGTTGATAGGTGAGACGTGGGTTGAGACAGGCAGGTGACTAGAGAGGTTACAACTGTCTTGATTGACAAGCAGCTCTCTCTCTCTCGAACACACTCGTACACGCACACAAGCACTCACACTTTTCTCTGTGCAACCCCGTAGGGCTCTCCGGACTCTCTGTTTATCTGCAGCTCCACATCAAGATCTGCACTTAGCTGCTAATATCTTGGGATCCTTTGGGGGCATACAATCCTCCTCCCTGCTGTGTGATTTCTGCTGGCAGTCTCTCACGGAGTCCTGCAACATCATCCATTACTTCAACTTCCTCCTTACCGATTAGAGGAGATAAGGCTGATCTGTGGAATTAACCTCAATTAGTACTACCTCTCGAGATCCTTCTCGTTTCACCTCCTGACTCCTGCGCTGCATCTTACATGTCCCTTGTCTATTCAAAGGGCATATATGAAGTGTGAATATAAACTCAGACAGTTTAAATTTATATCGTATAACTTAATTTTAGTTGTATTCAGTCCCGCTGTGGCGTTGACGAACTTTACATGTATGGCCATCATCAGGTAAACATGTTAATTTGTCCAATACTTTGGCTATAACCAAATACCTGCAAAAATGACTATGAGCTTCAGCTGTACTTTGTGTTTAATGCTAATTTGCAAATATCAGCATGATAACATTAGCTGCACTAATGATGCAAAAGGCAAACATTACTAGCTAAACGTTAACATTGTCGCAGTGTTAGCCTTTAGCTCAAAGCATTGCTGTGTCTATGTACAGCTTTTTTAAACTTCTAGTCTTGTTAAGCTCATAACTATTATGTCCACAGTAACACTGTAAGTAATCATGCCCCTCCCTAATTATATGGGCATAGATGAGTCATTTGGGAGCAATGATGGCAACAGCTAAATGCATACCATCAAATGTTGCCATCCCAGCTTGTTCTTTAAGGTATGTTGAGTCTTACTTTCCACCATCTGTTTTGTGGACAAGAGAAGCAACAATATCTCAGTGATTAGGTTAGAGAGGCTCATTGCCCTGACCTAAAAGAGCAGTTCAGACACTTTCCTCTCTTTATCCTTTCTTTCACAGTTAAATGTTCCGTGTGGGGAATTCATAAACAAGCCCCTCATGTGTGCACTTTAACTCAAACAAAGAGAGAAAGAGTTGGAAAAAAGACTGAAACCGACGAGAGCAGAAAGGGTTAGGAAACCTTTAGGCATGTTTGTTGTGTATATTTTCTAGAGTAGAGGTAATCCCCAGGCTCAGACATGACTATTTACACCTTTTGTTTTGCTTACACCGGGGGTGTTAGGGATACAGACTGGGGAGGCACACCCAGCGCGTCTCATTAGGAGAATAAGATAAGTAGAGGAACTCGACAAAGCAAAGAAGTGAATACCCCCAGTCTCTGGTAACACAACTACACCGAGAATCCCAATACTTCAGTGGCATAGCCATTAACGAGAGTGCGTGGGAGAGATAGATCGTTAACTTGAACAAAGGGTGAGTTTATCGTTAAGTGAGGTGTGTTTAAATGTTTTTTTAACTGTGGCTGTCTGGGCTTGAAGAGAGTGCAGGTGGGCAGTTCGGAGAGAGGCAGTTGATACGAAAAAACCACTGACCAGCAGGTGGATTATGGGCCAACAGCCGAAACACGTTTTTGTGTCATAGCTTCTTTTGTGGTTTTGCCCACTCACTCCGTGACTGTAGGAGGAAGCACTGATGCACCTTGATGCTCATACACCTGCATGTGTGTGTGTGTGTGTGTGTGTGTGTGTGACCGCACGCACACAGACACGCATGTGCACACACACACACACTCAAAGCAAGAAAAAAAAAGCACTAACTACTTCCCCCCTGGCTCCTCATGAGAAGTCATTAGGAATGTGTCTGTGTTTTATTTTTAGCAGTGTGTGTTTAGGAGGGGTTGCGGAGTCTCGTCAGTCTTCAGGGCCCTCCTCTGCTCTGTCGCTCTGTGTCTCTGTCTCCAGCTGAGAGCTATGTATATTTCATCAGCCCAGGGTGCCTTTTTGTCTTAAGATGCGCTGCACCTCCCCTGCCTGTCTCTCTGCTGCTCTTCAATGGAGGGAGCCATCACAGCCTCTTTTAAACTCTCCCGCAGTTCTCTCTCTCTCTCTCTATCTCTCTCTCCACACTGACAGCCACCCTCTGCTTCTCCCTCTGCTTTTCATGGTCAGCTTGTCTCTCTCCTGAAGGCTCATCCGTCTTTCCTCTTTCAGCTGTGGAGAGGAGCAGAGTAGAGCACATCCAAACAGACTTGGGCTGTCAGGAAAACTCTTTCTCTTTCTCTGTCTCTCTCCGTCTTTGATTCTGTCCCTCCGTCTGTCTGTTGTACGGCTCTGTCACTTCAGGGAAGGGACACTTCTTCACCCAGCGCTGCATCCCCTTTAGTTGTTGTCTTTTTATAGCAGAAATCTGAGTGCTGTGACAGCAGCTAAAAATGGTTGCACCAATGACGGGCTACATCAGCAGTTAATTGCTATATTTGCACCATCAGTGTTTTGTTTTTTTCTCTTTAAGTTTTATTACGATCTCAGTATTTCTGTTACACACTAACAATGGTGGTATATTTTTGTTCTATATAACGTTGTCAGGACACCCCTTAGTATATGTGTGTAGCAGACTCAGAATCTGTAACTAGACTAGTGGACTTACATTAAAGTCACTCATTGATTCAATTTTTATCACACAATCCTTCTCACACAGTTCCAACTCTCTCGTAAATAAGGACGTTGCCATACCAAAAGTATCCCTTTATCTCTTGTATGTTAATTATGTCTTTATATCTTTCAGGCATGTACTGTGATTGAGAGTGCGGCTGGAGCCAGTAAGGAGGTGGACTCGGGGCCATCGCAGCCTGCAGGTGACCACACTCCTTCTCACCTGGTGACCTTGGAGCCAGAGAAAGCTGACAAAGCTGACCGCCCACTTTCCAGTGAGTATAGCCCTCCCTCATGCCAGATCACTGTCTACAATGTTTTTATGTTTTATAAGCTTTTTCTTGTATGAGCCATTTTTTTTACACTACTCTCCTCTGTCTCCATCCTTCTTTTACCTCTTTTTTTATTGCTGTCTCCTAAAGTAATGCTTTCTGGTTCACTAGAAATCCTGTTCATAGGATGTGATTGTGGAGTCGATATCATTTCACTTCACACCAATGTGATCTTTGATGGATGTTAGTACAGACCGCTGCAATTAAATATCCCCGTGGCCATTCTCCAATCACTAGTAGCATCATCTGACATGTTTGATATATTTGTTTACATTTCTTAATCTCGTCACTCTGTGAGAGAGACGTTCACTCAGAACATGCAGTAGTAAATGTGTTGGTTGAGCCTTCATCATTCAGCTACGGAGAACAAGCCATTTCCTCTGAATATACATCTCTTCACTTAACGGGGCATCTTATCTCTGCTTCCTTTTTCCTGTGTGAGGTGTCCTTTTGACCCTGTTGTGTGGCAACACAGGAAGCAGTGAGACCCCTGCAGTAAATGAGATACGGTCTGAGACAGCTCTTACGGTCATCGAAGAGTTAAAAACAAAAAATCTCATGAGTTCGTCTGTTCAGACTTGTGATGTCATGTCTTCTAACACTTCATCCTCTTGTAACTCTTCAACCACACTCCTCCACCACCATTATATTTTATCTATATATACCTACGATAGGAATCCCCCTCTTACCCAAAATATATTAACTCTTTGTTTTCCATCTTTTGTCATTGCAACTGTCAACCTATACATGCTGCTGTGTGAAACCAGATGGAGATAATAACGATTTCCCTGCAGTTTGTTTTGCAAATGTGCAGGTGATGTGGTCCCTTCACCTCCTTCCAATGCATTGTTGTTTAACTGAAGCTGCTTTTAATTGTCATCAATGCAAATCCAACCTGCCCACAAAACATACACACAAAGACTCTGAAACCCGACATTTGTTCACACACAAATGCACACACACACACACAGCATGCCCCACTCTTTTTTCTTCTTCTGTTGTTAATCTAAGGTTCCACTTCGGGATCCAATGATCAGGTAGTTTTTTCCCTCGACCCAGGGCAATGGATTATAGGTATTATGGTCATTTCACTTTCATCTCATTAATCTGCAGTATAGTGTTCGTCCAGACAGATGAGTGAGCAATTTGTTTGGCATGCTGGTGACGGACGAGATGATGGTGATCAAACGAGACTGAGAGATGAGTTGGAAGACGGCATGATGAAGCAGGGGCAGACACAAAAAATAAGTGACATGCGAGTGTGTATGTGTGTGAGTATGCCCCAAGGGAGGCCCTCACTACAGTGGGTTTTGGAGCTCAATGCGTTTATGTAAAAAGTGCTGCTGTCTCCTCTTATCAGTGCAGCTGACTGCCTTTCGACTGGGTATCTATTACCGTTCTTCCTCTTTTTTTTTGCAATTATAAACACAGGAGTTATGTAAATCTCATTTTCTTAACCCCTCCACCCTCCACTTTTCACTTGCTCTCCTTCTGCTCTATCTTTCTCTCTTGCTCGCCATATCTCTCCTGCTCACACCACTCTCTCTCTTTTCTCTAAGGCTATTTCTGTTTAGCCATGAGGGTCCCTCTGTCATTTACAGAAACTCATCTCAAACTCTCTCTCTCCAACTCAACCGGCACACACACACATACAGGCACACCAGCTCAACCACAACTATCAAAGGCACCTGGTTAAACAGTCATGACAAAACAGGGCCACCGCAGCCCCACAGACACACATACACGCAGAAGACTGAACCTTCCTCCCAGTGGTCCAGTGTGGGTTGAGAGCGGGTTTCCATGAGTTATTTAAGTGCTCTCCATCATGCGTGGTGTGCTGCAGCTCACACTGACATGACACGGCCCATTTCCTCCGTTCAGGCTAGAAACCTGACACAAGACACGCTTGCGGTGTTCACACAGAATAGATAGAGGTGCACAGTCCATCATGATCTTAACACTGTTGGGTTAAAATCATTAAATGGGCCCCGAATACAACAAAGTGAAGCTGAAGGGAGAGACTTACGATTTTAGACAATTGGTGTTAAACAGTCTTTCTGTCCACTGCAGTCTGGGTTTTAATTGTGCTTGTGTGAATATTTAGTGGCTTAATGGTCACAGCTCTAATGTAAATGTTTGCTTTGACCAGTGGCATACAGAGAGAGGGAGGCAGTGGGCTTTCACGTTGCATTGTGGTGTTGAAGAATTTCTGTATGTAAGTTCAGGATATTTCCATATATACGGAGACAAGATCTCCCATTTCTCATTTCAAATGTCCCAACATGTTATGGCCCGTCAAGGCCCTATCAGACAGGAAACAGACTGGAGTGGGGAGGATGTGACATCTGGGCTGACCACAATGTGCTTCAGGTCTGTGGACCTGTCAACACATTCGATGAACACTTTATATACATCAGCAGTCACTCAGGCTCAAAACACCCCACAGTTAATACATCACTATTAGTGGTAAAGGAACAAGGTGAACCTCCCTGCATAAACATCTAATATAGGGAAAGGGCCACAGGACTAATGTGAAGAGTAAACTATATGGTCAGGCAATTTGTACCATTATGCTTCTATTTGTCTGCACTGTCAAAGTAGCTACCACTCTTACCGCTGATGTGAATTTAGCCTTTTTCAACATTTGTTCTGTTTCTTTCCACTGCTTTATCACAGCCTTCTCTCCTCAATCTTGTCATGCTGAGCAAATGCCTTTAGCGATATGTATGTTTATGTTTTGTACTTAATGTGTGTCTCTTAGAGTTACGCATGCTGATGATGTGATTGTCATGCGATAGACTGTGAGTGTGTTTTGATTGCAACAGCACAGCTGGACTTGGCAGACTTGGCAGTCTAGTGCGCTTGGCTGCTGGCCAGTTCAATACAATTACAATTAGCCCCTGTGGGAGCATGGAGCATCACTGAAGATGGGGTGTGGGTGATGGTTGTGGCACAAAGAGGGGGTGGTTCACAGTATCTGGCAACCCGCCTTTGCTTGGAAGAAGGATCAATATCTGAGCTGTTGCTTCAGCTGTTGTGGTTAACATTTCACATTAAGAGTCTTGCATGGAGAACACATCAGTGAGGTTCAATCCATAAACAGACATGTTACAATAACACATACACCACACACACACACACGAAGACATTAAAGGAGGAAAAGTCTTTCCATGAGAGCGTGATTACAGCCGCCCATCCTTGTAGCTCTTGTCCAGAGAACGGAGCAGCAGGTGGAGGGATGAGAGTAGCCGCGCACAGAAAGAATGGAGACGAGGGATGACGGGAGCAGTGTGCATGGGGGTGGGGAAGGACGATATGGGGAGGATGGTGAGAGGAGGACAAGGACACTGAATGGAGAGATGACAGGGGATGTGTTTGGAGAGAGAGATCAGAGGGTGACAGAGGAGGCATGGAGAGGAATGCCGCTGCTTGCCCCCCTCTTCCCTCCTCCCTCTCTTTTCTTCTTTTCTTTTGTCCCCCTCAGTAGGGATGACAGGAGGGTGGGCTAACTTCGAATGGCAATGACAAGCTTGCCACCGCTCCCATGAAGCACAGCAGATGGAAGTGTGTGTGTGTGTGTGTGTGTGCGTGTGTGTGTGTGTGTGTGTGTGTGTGTGTGCATTTGCGTGTGTGTGCGTGTACGTGCGATTAAAATGCCACTGGAGACCAGGGTATACAGAGTCTCTTGGCAGCGCCACGCTTGGCAGAGCGCCACCTCACTGACCTCTTTTTCCAGCCCAGCAGAGTGGGCGTTGAGGTGTATGTGTGTGTTAAGTGAGGGGAGTTGGTCTCAACAAACAAATATTAATTCACAGTGTTCCCATTGTCTGTTCCATTATGTCCTTCCTTCAGGGGGCAAGTGAGCTGGATGGCCTGTGTGGTTGTTTGCTCATCCATCTATTTGAGTAATTCAGTAATGTAATGATCACATGATTTTTGAGAAACAGAGCTCTGTTCAGCAGTGTGGCGCCAGTCCTGGCGGGCATGGGGGAATTAGTCAGGAGACAGTGGGTTTGGCACTGTGCCTTGGTTATTAGCCACTCACAGGGTGGGCACGGGGTTGTGCCCCGACTCAATCCCTCACTGTGTTTGCATGTGTGTGCTTAAAGTGTTTGTTTCTGTGCGTGTGTGTTTGTGCGTGTCTACCATTTGAGTCAGGATTCTCCTCTGGTCACACTAACCTTATTGTGCAATCACTTCTGGCTGATTTGTACCCTTTCCAACGCATTCCTCTCTCCGAAAATTCTGAGAAACAGGCTGTTAACCCCCTCTCCCCCCTTGCTCTCTCTCTCTCTCGTCTTCCCTCCGGATGGGTTTGATTTAGTGAGTGTGGTTTTCCATCTAGACTCTGGGAGCCAGAGAGAGTAGACTTAGGGAGAGACCTATGGATTCACAGCCAGCGGAGCACGTCATTACTTGGCCATAGCTCATCAGCAGATACATCAGCAGGCTGCAGGGCTAATAGATGCGAGCTGTCGCCGTTCAGGAAGTAATAAACCTCTCTTCGTTTCATCCCCTTAATTATTTCCTTCTCATGAGTTGCATGAATTGCACTAAATGATGACAGCAAAAAGCAACTGAGAGTGTGTTATATTATTCAAGGCTGCATATGTATATATGTATAATGAAACTTAAACTTTGTGCGACTTTGACCAAATAATTCCTCTTTTGGGTTTGGGAGAAGTTATATTTAGGCTTTGGTGAGGCCACCTGATGTGAGGTTAATGCTCAGTGTAGAGCAGCGAGGTCAGGTTACAGACATGTTTAAGCAGTAGCCCTGAAAAAAATGACCACTTAGTGAGAGACCTCCAGACTGACCTTTAGCCTCACAAAGGAAACCAGTGTTCAAGCAGGATTAAGCCTGACTGCCTGCACACTCACAGCTGTTTGTATCTGCCTTTTTTTAATTTACAGCAGACAATGTAAGACAGCACCACAACAAA